GCCTTTTCTGTATCAATTGATAAGATCATGTGGTTCTTGTCTTTTGTTTTATTTATGTGATGGATTACATTGATTGTTTTTCTCATGTTGAACCATCCCTGCATTCCTGGTATAAATCCCACTTGATCATGGTGAATTATTTTTTTGATACATTGTTGAATTCTATTGGCTAGAATTTTGTTGAGGATTTTTGCATCAGTGTTCATGAGAGATATTGGTCTGTAATTTTGTTTTTTTGTGGTGTCTTTATTTGGTTTTGTATCAGGTTATGCTGGCTTCTTAGAATGAGTTTGGGAGTATTCCATCTTTTTCTATGCTCTGAAATACCTTTAGTAGTAGTGGTGTTAACTCTTCTCTGAAAATTTGGTAGAATTCTCCAGTGAAACCATCTGGGTCAGGGCTTTTTTATTGGGAGTTCTTTAATTACCTTTTCAATCTCTTCTTTTGTTATGGGTTTATTTAGTTGTTCTACCTCTGTTTGTGTTAGTTTAGGTAGGTAGTGAGTTACTAGAAATTTGTCCATTTCCTCTAGGTTTTCAAATTTGTTAAGAGTACAGTTTTTCATAGTATTCTGTTACGATTCTTTTAATTTCAGTTGAGTCTGTTGTGATATCACCCATCTCATTGCTTATACAGGTTATTTGCTTCCTCTCCTGTTTTTCTTTTGTCATTTTGGCCAGGGATTTATCGATTTTGTTGATCTTTTCAGAGAACCAGCTTTTGGTCATGTTAACTCTTTCAATTGTTTTTCTATTCTCTATTTCATTTAATTCTGCTCTAATTCTTATTATTTCCTTTATTCTCGTGCCCAAGGGCTTCCTTTGGCTGCTCTCTTTCTATTTCTTTAAGTTGTAGGTTAATGGATGTGTACATTTATTGGTATAAACTGATGTCTGAGCACTGCTTTTGTTGTGTCCCAAAGGTTCTGGTAGGATGTGTTTTCATTCTCGTTTGATTCTATGAATTTCTTTATTCCATCCTTAATTTCTTCTATAACAGTAGTTTTTGAGCCAGGTGTTGTTCAGTTTCCATGTGTTTGATTTTTTTTCTTTGCTTTTTCTGTTACTGATTTCTACTTTTATGGCTTTATGATCTGAAAAGATGCTTTGTAATATTTCAGTGCTTTCGATTCTGTCAAGGCTTGCTTTATGGTCTAATATGTGGTCTATTCTGGAGAATGTTCCATGTGTGTTGGAAAAGCAAGTAAGTATACTTGGCTGCTGTTGGGTGGAGTGTTCGGTATATGTCCATGAGATCAAGTTTGTTGATTTTGGCATTTAGATCTTCTGTGTTTTTATTGAGCTGCTTTCTGGATGTTCTGTCCTTCACCAAAAGTGATGTGTTGAAGTCTCCTACTATTATTGTGGAGCTGTCTGTCTCTCTTTTCAATGCTGTTAGAGTTTGTTTTATGTATTTTGGAGCCCTGTCATTGGGTGCGTAAATATTTTTTTATAGTTACTTTCTCCTGGAGTATTGATCCTTTAATCATTATATAGTGTCCTTCCTTATCCTTTATGGTGGATTTTACTTTAAAGTCTATTTTGTCAGAGATTAATATTGACACTCCTGCTCTTTTTTGATTGTTTTTGCTTGGTATATTTTTTTCCATCCTTTGAGTTTTAATTTGTTTGTGTCTTTAAGGTGTGTCCCTTGTAAGCAGCATATAGACGGATTGTGGTTTTTTATCTATTCTGCCACTCTCTGTCTCTTGGTGCATTTAGTCCATTTACATTCAGCATAATTATTGATAGGTGTCATGGATTGAATTGTGTCCCCCCAAAATATCTGTCAACTTGGCTGAGTCATGATTCCCAGTATTGTATGATTGTGTACCATTTTGTAAATCTGATGTGATTTCCTTTATGTGTTATAAACTCTATCACTATGATGAAGTTACACTGATGAGATTTAGATAGTGTCTTAATCCAATCTCTTTTGAGATATAAAAGAGAGAAGCGAGCAGAGACACACGGGAACCTCATACCACCAAGAAAGCTGTGCTGGGAGCAGAGCGTGTTCTTTGGACCTGAGGTTCCTGCACAGAGAAGCTCCCAGACCAAGGGAAGACTGATGACATGGACCTTCCTCCAGAGCTGAAAGAGAGAGAGAGCGTTCCCCTGGAGCCAAAGCCCTGAATTTGGACTTGTAGCCTACTGTACTGTGAGAGAATAAATTTTTCTTTGTTAAAGCCATGCACTTGTGGTATTTCTATTACAGCAGCACTAGATGACTGAGACAATAGGTATGAGTTTAGTGCTGTCATTTTGATGTCTTTTTTTGTGTGTTGTTGACATTTCTTTATTCCAGTTTATTTTCTGTGCTGAGTCATTCTTCTTTATGTATTTTCTTTTCATCTTTTTCATTGTTGTTGATTTTGTATTTGCTGAGTCTTTATATTTTTCTTATTTTTTATTTCATTGTGTAGGATTGTTAGTTTTTTATTTACCCCTATTTTTCTAAGTTTAAACCAGTCTGATATTTCTTCGTATTGCCTTGACTTCCTCTCCATATTAAAAATCTATGTTTACATTTTAGTTCCTCTTGTTTGTTTTAATGTTGTCATCTTTTACATGTTGACATCTCTGTTTCCCTATTTTCAGTGTTTTAGCTTTGATTATTTTTGTGACTTCCCTATCTGGGTTGATACCTGATTACTCTGTCCTGTGTTTTAGGCTTGAGTTGTTAGCTGTTACTGATTTTCTAACCAGAGGACTCCCTTCAGTATTTCTTATAATTTTGGTTTGGTTTTTTGCAAATTCCCTAAACTTCTGTTTATATGGAAATGCCCTAATTTCGCCATCATATTTGA